GTTTATCATAATTTTTTTAATCGTGGTTAATTTACTCTGGCCCTATAACAGACGTGGACGAGTGTAAAGACCCCAACCGTTGCGCTGACAGTGCCAACTGTACGAACTTGGACGGATCTTACGACTGTAACTGCTCCGAAGTGGACGCTCATCTCTGTTTTGGTACGTCAAACTGTGCTACAAACATATCTTATATGATTGGTTAACAAACAATACCCGTGATAATTTCCGAAGATGCGCATGTTATGGGGACAAGTGATATGATTTCTTGCCTGGAAGGGGTGGGAAGACTTGGGGGAGATCACATGGTTTCCAGAGGTGTTGAAGGGATCATCACCGATAGAATAGTGGAGGGGGGGGGGCAAGAGAAAAATGTCTGCCGATTAGCTGCCAATTAGAGGGGATAGGGGGTCATGAGAATATCACCTTATTGGGATCAGATATATTTCCCTGTGACACAATCAAAATCCTCCACCTGCCTTCCCCCATGTGATAAATAATGGCCAGACCCCATCGAACAATGGGCGAAATGAAAATGAAGGCTCGTTTATTTATGAAAATGCATCGAATAAAGCAATCTTGTGCCAGTGCAGGCATTCAAATTAAACCTTTGTAACTCAAAGCTATCACTATGACCATTCTAAGAGGTTTTACCTTACGTTAGAGATATGGTAGGATACTGTAGATTTAAGGTAGAAATGGGTCCAGTTCAACTTCTAAAGGCACAACTTAACAGAACCAGATATATAGACAGTGGGTGTTGAACCACAGTCTTAAGCCTATCATCATTTCCCCGCCATTTTAGGTACTACATTGTGCGATACTCCACGAGTACGTATAAATGATGTAGGACGCACTGCTGATCAACCCACTGTGGTTCAGCTCAGCTCACATCACACGTTTACTGCGAACGTTGCAGTAAGATGTTCAAAGATATGGACTCAGAACATGTCTTGGATCCTAGCAGATCCAACCTTAAACAACTCTGACGCCATATTGAATGGAACTGTTGTTTCGGCGGAAAAAGATAAATGGACACTCACTGACCACCATTTGCAATATGCCTATATGGTGCATGCTTTGTTTTTTTCTCTTACCATAGTCCAAGGGAGCAATAATTTGACGCACAGTGTGTTTGATAAGGGTTATATCATTATACGTCCTTCACCGCTAGTTGCAACAATATCTGGTGAAACTGAAATCACAAGAGGAAACAAGCAAATTATTACCCTCAATGGTTCAGAGTCATATGATCCTCATCTTGGCCATGGAGCCCTGGAGACACTGAAATTTCTTTGGCTTTGTAAGAGATCAGATGAGGAATTCCCAAATGGGAATTCTAATGACATTCAAATTGCGCCCATCTTCTTAAACGACTCTGGTGAGTCACATGGAGGCTGTTTCGGCACAGGAGTTGGAAGATTGGAATTCACGGGGCCTATTATTACCTTAAATGCGTCTGCAATGAATAATAGAAGTGCATCGTACGTTTTTAAGCTTATTGTAACAAAAGACGCCAGATGGTCAAGCGACTCAAAGAAAGTACATGTGATAGAAGGGAGTCCTCCTGAAGTGTCATTTTTGTTAGTATATCGAGTAAAGTGTTTCCTCTTTAATTCATTTATGTTCTAGAGGGTCCATGAAGCAAATAGTACGCTTTTAATGGATGATTGTACTTATTCAACAACAACAATAAGAAGGATATTAAAGATGAGATATCGCCACGAGCATTGTTTGTTTGAATCATCCCTTAATATGCACTGACTAGCAATAACTTTATTCCCGTTTTTGATTTTTCTTTCCTCTTCTCTAAGCTGTCTCATATCTTTGACTCTGTCATTGGTTGCAACTGAATCTTTTTTCGGTTTGGCAGGTTCGTTTTGGGCGATCGATTAAACATCAATCCATCAGGACCGCTGACCATCTCAGCCGATTACCTGGGCTACTCCTGTGGCAATCACGTGCAGTTTGAGTGGATACTCTACCAAGAAGATAAAAACTTGACTTGGATTCAAATTTCCAGCACCCCTCAGAGGTCGAATGTGTTTTCAGTTGATCCAAATATTCTAAAGGACAATATGAAATATCGACTAGAGTTAACTGTGATACTTAAAGATGAAGCACCCTCTAAAACCGTACAAATCTTTAGGACTGTAGTCCTCCCACGGGATGGCTCATGCGTTATAACCCCAGAGACTGGCGAGGCTGTTTATACTTTGTTTCAGTTGCAGTGCTTTGATTGGTTCCCCCTGGATGAGTTGTTTACTTACGACGTGCACGTTATCGGAGAAGGAAACATTCACCATACTTTATACCATGGTCAGGACGCGAATCAGCAATTAGTTTTACCGCAAGGAAATTACTCAAGCGGATATGAATCCAGGGTCAAGGTATTTGTATCAAGGAGCAATGGTGCTACATCTGAGGTGGATATAACAGTAAAGGTATACCGACTCAATATATTCTATCTAAGTCAACAAAAACATTTGGCCGTTTCACGCGTCACGTTTAATATCCAAAACTCTTTCACGTTCACGCAAAATTCAAGACCATCACATCGAATAAGCATTTGGCTTTTTTTAGCCTTGACCATTCTTACACGACAAAAGAGAGTTAGGAGAAAGGAGATAGACTTTATATGCATATTAAGTCCATCTCTTTTCAAAAATCTGTTCAAAACCGAACCGCAGTCGTTCGAGAACAATACGTACATTTTCCAAAAAAAAAAAACAAAAAAAACAAATTAGCCAGAAATTCATCACGCAGGACAAAGTGCTTCACGAGTCACGTTTAATTCAGCTCTTAACTCACGGATCACATTTAAATAGAAAATTCGTTGACGTGGACATGCAAATATCTTATTATCTTTAATCTTGATTCACGAATATAAATAAAAAAAATTACGATTCGCTCTAGCACAAATATCTTTATTAATTCATTTGGTTTACTTTTATAATTGAAACCATGATTTTTGCTGCAGGTAATTCCGCACCAACCGCGAGTGCAACAAGACCTTTTTGAACTTTTAGGAAAGTCCCCGATTTTTTTTGAACAATTCATATTCCAAGAGGGTACTCTTAAGGCGTGGCAGCTAATGGCAGCAATGCTTTTGACATTAGAAAAACAAGAATTGGTGTCCAAAAGAAGTTTCTACAGCTCAGCGGCACCTAGTCAGATGAAAAGCGCAGTAAGTGTCGAGGTTTTGGGTTATTTAGATATCGAATTGTCTGCATATTTCAATACTGATGCTTCGATTGTATTTTTTTTTTTTAAGCTGAGAGACATTGTCCTGAAGAGGTTTCAGCTCACAGAAATTGATTTATCAAGTATAGCGTCTATGTCCGCCTTTCTGGCCTCCGCAGGAAAGAACGTAACTGAGTTATCTCCTCTCGCGGAGGTAAAGTTCGTCTCTTAACTTGCTAAACTGATGCAATTCCTCTGATGAGACGTGTGACCCATTTATCATCGCGCTCGATTCTGGATTAAAAGATCAAAATAGACTCTTGAGTTAGCTTTTGTGTTATCGCCATAGATAAGACACATCGGAATGCCAGTAAAGTTTATCTAAAGGCGGTTCACCAGTGATACTTTGGCAAACCCATGATTAAAAGATGCAGTATTCCTCGTCTTTTACATGAAGAGTAAGGACATTTCCCTAACGCAGTATTGGCAGATTTCTAGGGCAATGTAAAGACCGTTACAAATCAAGTTTGTGGAAGGTGGAGGGGGGGTTCGAGCAATGTTCGAGTCGTTCCATGCTACGGAAGCAAAATAAGCGTCGGCAGACGAGTATATTGACTAGATTGACTAGACTTAGGAGTAACTGTTCCTTCTCTTGTAAATACCAGTATTTTAGCATTACATAAAGCTCAAACGATAATGTTTGGAAAACATTAATGTGCAATGATGTGATACTAAATCAAGTTTAAGAAGCAAAAAAACCTGACTCTTCGAACTAAAAAGTATTGAAAACCATTTTTTCAAGGATCTGCTTCTGAAAGTGCTAGAGAACATGTCTTCGCTGCTGCTCTCCAAAGCCAAAAATATGAATGCAGACGATGAAAGGTTTATCTTTCGAGGGGTTTCTAATTTGCTCTTTGGAACAGTTGAGTTAATGAAAGTATCAGCAGACGTAGCTGCTTTCAGTGGAGAAAGCCAAACCTTATCACCTGAACAGTTGAAGGTAAGCTTTCTTAATGGACTTAACAGATATTGAATGACCCATCTCATCAACACACTCGAACTCGTGTAAGTGAGTCATAAAGCCAGAAGTAAACCTCTTCGCATTCGGAAATTTTTATACTCCAAAAGTGCTCCCTAGTTGAGATCATTATTCTTAAAATCGAAAGCTTTCTGCCAAAATCCATATGACAAACCCCGCCGCCCCCCTCTCCCCATCATTGGACTACGTAAAGGGAGGGGGGGGCAGTGGGCAGTAGAGTAGACTTGTGGTGTCAATGAAATACTGAATATCAGTCTCCCTTCCCTTCTTGTATATTTTCCAGGCTAAGGATACTGTTTTGAAGTCTATGGACATTACCAGAACATTGCTTACAACTGTGGCGGTGAGATCAGCAGTTTCTCAGTCCCCGAAGAGGTTACAAGTACCCGGCATGAATATCTTAGTTGGCCGAGAGTCATCCTGTGGACTTCAAGAGAGAAGTTTGAACGTGTCTGGAAATGAGGGGTTTCGTCTACCACAAAATATGAATAGCGCTTTTCGAAATGACAGAGTGGAGTGGGCTGAGTATCAGGTATCATATGTATTAAACATGCTGAACAATTACCAAATAGATCTTATGTTACCATGCCTCTGTTCAATAGTAGAGCACTGATGACGTCAGAATCTGATAAAGACAAGAAAGGGAGCACTATGATTTAATTACTGAACGGGCCCACGGTAACGTTGAATGTACTGATTTAAGGTAGTAAGAAAGCAAAAAGCTGTCGATGATGACGTTATCTATGCGTCTTTTTTTCTATAGATAATAAGTGAGAACCACTATTACGGGACATATCTTAATGAGAGTAATTCTTATTTTATAATCATCAATTCTTTACTTCTTCTATCTGCAGATGATAAAAACCAATTTCAATCCATACCGCTGGCATGAAAGCTACCGTAAAATCAAATCAGAAGTTCTTAGTCTCGAGTTCACAAACGATACAGGGGCATTACCTGTTGGAGGAGAAGACGTTGACATCGTCATTAAAATACCACTTAATCCTTCTGGAAACGGCTTATATGATAGTAATTACTTTATCAGACCACAAATTATGCGATACCACTTTATTGAACTAGCAGACAATTCCGATTCCATGATTCTTGAAGTTCAACCCACAAACGAGAGTCTTTTAATGGTGGTGTATGTTAAACTCGGAGAACGGCCAACTGTGAGCAGTTACAGCCATATGTCCACTGTGCCTGACTATTCGTCTTGCAGCTGGGACAACGTTAATGGTCAACAGAAGTCAAGATGTTCAAGAAGTCCGTACCAGGTCATGTCTACGGAACACTTTAATCAAACTGGTTTGTATTATGTCGGGATTTTGTACGTGGAAGATACTCACCTCCAGCTAAATCGTACTCGGACTAGACGATCATGCCTCGGAAAAAGAAGAGAGAGAAGGGATTGCGTTGAGCCAAAGCCACCTCCTGTGAAAGGGATAGAATACAACAGAACTTTGATTTATAATCCTTTTACAGATCAGAACTACACAATAAAAGTTCGGAAATACAGCTGTTACTATTTTGATTTAACCCAGGACCAGTGGAGTAAAGAAGGCTGCAAGGTCAGTGGAAGAGTAAAGTTTTTAATAATTCATTATTCATTATTCATTTAGATGTTGTCATGTGTTGTGCCATACACAGAAACGTTATTCATGTCCCTTTTGGTTATAAAGGTGGGTACTTGGCACTTCAGTTTGGCGAAATAAGTAGAGCTAAACGTGGAAACACATTGAAGAAGAAATTATTCAGTGCTATGAGTACATTAACTAAATAACGAACCTTTGGTACCAGTGTGGCTGCACTGGCATCGCTCCTTTGATTTAAAGGATGATAATCAAGCAATATAATCTTTGATGAGGACCCCTTTCGCCCCTTTATGTACACCCGATCGAGCAAATTGAGAATTAGTTAGCAAGCAAGTGACATTTTCAGGTTCGTGTAATATATTTTGTCGCATAATGAGGTATATATCATTTATGTATAATTCAATTTAGGTTGGAGATGAAACAAACAATCAGCTGCTTCACTGTCGATGTAATCACCTCACAGGCTTTGGAGGAGGTTTTGTTGTTGCACCGAATCCGATAGACTTCGACAAAGTTTTAACCGAATTTACCAGACTAGAGGAAACAGAAAACTACGTGGTGCTTGCAACCGTCTGTTCTATTTTTGGTGTCTACGTTCTGGTGATGATATGGGCGAGAAAAGCTGATTTAAAAGACGAAAGAAAGGTTTGTTTTATTTTTTCGTGATTACAATAAACTCTTTTACAATACAAATGTAGTTCATTTTGAAAGTTTGTATTCTTAAACGGTTTGGTTTCAATTAAAAAGAAGTGTCCAAGCGAAACTCGTTATTTCAAGTAAAAAAGAGTGTTACGAGTTCAATGGTTGAGAGGCAGGTGATTTGCAGTCTAAACAGAACTCAGGGTTTTCGGAACAGAAACAAGAAGATTTATTCCAAAATGAACATAATTTCCACTTGATAAACTCTACACTAGCACGTAACTTTGTAAACTTACGCGGCCTCCGCCAACCTCAATCAACTTTAAAATACTCACGGCCTCCGCCAAATTCAACAAACACTGCCTCGTCACACTTCATTGATCACAACTGATCACGACCAACTCTCTTCGCCTGTGAAAACTGGGTAAAACTTCGCTTAACCTCTCCTATATATGTACCTACGCGATAAAATTCTAGAACTTTCGAAAAAAGGTCTAATTATAGTAACATTACAAATATACCGTTTTTAGAAACGATTACATAATATCTTAAAATAAACAAGCCATGAATTTTCACGAAGTTTCCAGTAGGTCATGCATGTCACGCAACACTATTTTCGTAACAAAGAGACGATACTGCAATTTGAGATTATAAGTATATTGTAGTGCTTGTTGTTAGTTTGCTTTGTTTCCTTGTATTGAAATGAACGGTTAGGGCTGAAAGAAAATTGGGGTATTTTTAGTTCAGGTATGAATGCCATCAATTGACGTTTAATTGTTATGCACGAACTTTCCTCTCACCCCTTGTTATTACCCTGATAGCTGGGTCCAACTGTACATGTGAAACCAACTGAAAATGGCACATACAAGTACGAGTTCACTGTAGTTACAGGAGTTTGGCGAAATGCCGGCACAACTGCCAATGTGTTCGTTAAGATCTTTGGAACCGATGGCATTTTAGAGTCTGTAAACTTAACCGCCAATGCACCACCAGGAAGAAGACTGTTTGCAAGAGGCAATATCGACAAGTTTGTCTTCCACCTTGAAAACTCACTCGGGATTGTGGTTAAGATAGAATTGTGGCACGACAACTCTGGAAAGAATTCCTGTTGGTTTCTCGATAAAGTTCGCCTTGCCGATGTGGTAACAAATCAGAAGTGGGACTTCTTCCACCACAATTGGCTCGCTTTGCACAAAGGAACTGGATCTCTGAAAGCATCAATAAAGTCCGCTGATCCAGGTAACGAGGGTCGCAGTTTCAAAACCCTTTTTCATACTGTTTGTTCTGGAGACCTTGCTGAACATCATTTATGGGCCTCTGTGATAACCAGACCACCACGCAATCACTTCACCCGGGTCCAGAGAACCTCTTGCTGCCTTTGTTTATTATATCTGGCGATGGTTTGTAACGCCATGTTTTATCAAGTGACCAGAGTTCCCGATGAGTCAATTCAAATTGGTCCTTTGCAAATGTCATTACGCCAACTGGTTATTGGTATTCAGAGTTCATTGATTATTGCCCCACTGAGCCTAATAACAACTGCATTATTTCGATACCGAAAGATGAAAAGACCAAAACAGAGAGTCGTCAACGAAACTGAAGAAAACTATAACCCAGAGCCCATGGACAAAACGAGATTCAGATGGTGTCTTCTCCCTCGTTCCTTTCTATTCCTGGCATGGTTTCTTTGTTTATCGGCGACATTTGTATCTGCAACCATGACAGTATTTTACAGCCTTCAGTGGGGCAAACAAACTGCCGACCGATGGCTGGCCTCTGTAGTAGTCTCCTGTGTCCAGGACGTCTTCGTCTGGCAACCCGCCAAGGTTATCATCTTTGCACTTTTATTGATTCTAATTTTCAACAAACCAAACCTTAGCAGCAAGACAGGTGACAGAAATGAACAGTCTTTAACCAAGGAAATGAGAGAGCGACAGGCTTTTGAATTACGGAAGGAAGAGTTCTTCGGACTTGTTCGCCAGTTTACTGCATTTATGTTTTTCTATCTTTTGTTAATGATTGTCGCTTATGGAGACAAGGATCATCACAGATATCTAATGACCAGAGGCACTCGGGATGGCTTCACCTTTTTTTACAAGGTATATAGAAATACTGAGGAGTTAGATAATAGATAACTTTTCTCTGATCAGATTTGTATTTATTTTCCAACTTTCCTGTACTCAAAATCTCCTGGTATTGCTTCAATGCGATGCTAGCACTGAAGGCTTCTGTAAGTGTCATCGAAATAGAAAAGTGATTGCCTGCTAGAATGTTTTGTGAACGGATTTCTCTTACACTAGGCTGTTTATCAAGGTTGTTGTTATAATTCTAGGTCAACACGGGAGAAAAGATGTGGACTTACATGCTAGGTAAATTTATCCATGACTCGTATGCCGGTGAGTGGTACAATGGTCAGGTTGAGCACACGCCAGAGTACATTGGCAATAAAGTGTCCATGCTAATTGGAATGCCTCGACTCCGTCAGCTTCGGATAAAGGAAGGTAAGGCTCGTCCCTTTTGTGCTTGTCTTCTCATTAAATAAGCAGGTGCTCAGCATTATCGAATTCTATCCGTAAACTCGTCCAGTGGTTTATTGTAAAACCCATTACCCTTCCATTTCAACGCGAATGCTATCGTTGCAAACTCTTCGAATTATTACTTCTGTAGTAGTGACTTCTCAAATGGACTTGTTTTTTTTTTTAATTGAGATTCCTGCCAAGTCGCTGAGGAGGTTGAGACGATTATTGACAAGTGTTACGATTTCTACTCGACCCCAGAAGAAGATACAACTCGTCTATATCTTCCCCACTGGATTCATTTGTCAGATTCACAGACTAAGTGGAATAATCTATCACAGCTTTGTCCCAGACCTTGGCGTTATTCAACTGAAGAGGAGCTCAATAACTTTCCATCGTGGGCCCAACATCACATATATGGCGGTGGGGGATATGTTCTTGATTTAGGATACGATAAAGCGACTGCTATCCGTATGATGGAAGGGGTCAAAGACAAGGACTGGATTGACAGAAGAACAAGGGCAATTCTTCTGGAATTTCAAGTCTTGAACTTAAATACCAATTTAATGAGCATCATTACGTATCATTATGAAGCTCTTCCATTTGGATTTGGACTTACATATGAAAAAATCACCACGATGAAACTGTTCAATTTTCAATCAATGTCGTATAACTTTTATCTTCTGTGTCAATTGTTGTTTATGCTGGCAGTGTTAGTGTATACCTCTATACTTTTAGTCCGACTATGTCGCATGGGAAGTGTATTTTTCAAACAAATATGGAACTGGATAGACATTGCTCAATTCGCGAGTGCCTCGCTAGCAATTGCGTTTTATGTTCTGAAGGTAAAATTTATGTATGACAGTGTAAAAAAATTGCAAAGGAATCCTTTTGTGACGGTCAGCTTCCAGTATGCGATTTTTTGGACTGACATGGAAAATACTGCTCTGGCATTTGCCTTGTTTATTGCCACGTTCAAAATTCTCCACTTCATTCGCCTCAGTCCGCATGTACAAATACTGGCTTGGACAATGATTAGTGCGAAAAACGACATTTTATCATTCAGTTTTCTCTTTGGTATACTGTTTATTGCACATGGCCACTTTGCCTTCCTGGTTTTTGGGAAATCAGTTTATTCATTTTCATCATTCTTTCGTTCGTTTGCCTCCGAGTTTGAGCTAGCGCTGGGTAACACCATTCATGTTAGTGAACTCGACGATTTGAATAGAGTGTTAGGTAATCTTTTTACTGCCAGTTTCATGCTTGCCCTTGCAGTTCTTCTCATAAACATATTTGTATCTATTTTAGATCTTAACCTACATAATATAAAGGAGGATGAAGAGAGGCTGCGAGAGGCATTTGGTATGGGGGAGTTCGTTAAGTCGCTCTTGTTCGGCAAAGACAATAACAAGCAAAATTTAAAAGACAAGTAACGTTTCAGTGAGAGAGCGATGCAATTCCCGCGGTTGAGCTGGCTTTGCAATCATGTATCTTAAAAGAGAGTATAGACGAGAGTATTTGTGGCAAACCTTAGTTATTACAAGAGGTAACTTAGCCTTTCCAAGTAACGCAAATCGCCAAAAGAAACAGCTATCAAGTGCAAAATGGGTAATGAATCGTAATTTTATAGCTGTAAAATAAGGAATAACTGTGGCATGCTCAATTGAGTAATACATTACGAGGCAGTGTAAGGACATTGCATTAACAATTTATCCAGTCTGTGATATAGCTCTTTTCAATACTGCAATTAGATAGAGCAAGTATGAAATAATTTGAGTAAAATGTATTTATCACTGAAATACTCGTAATCCTCGTGTAAGAGATACCGTTTCAACTGAAACGATGGTTAGTCTGTCTGCCAATCTAACGAGACGCCAATATGTAACCAGATAAAACTTAAACCGTTTAACTTATGTTAAACGGGTTAACATTGGAGAGTTTTAAATTCTTGCCCGTGCAGTTGCTGAATTTAAGGTAAAGTCATTAAAAGCCCAACTTTAGAGGCTGTCCGCGCAAGAACCGACCACTCGAATTTCGGCCTATCAGAGAATTCCCTCAATTTTTTACTGTGAGTTATTTGATCTATTCTATCAGCAAAAATTGTATTTATTTGGTTTGTATTGCTATTTTATCAATTTTTGGCAAAGAGATGTGAGGGCGGTCAAAAACAAAGAAAGCTGTTGTTTTTAGTGTTAATTTTCAGCGTTTCGCTGGAGGCTCTAAAAACTTACGCATTTGTTCAAATAGCATAAATCGGCCATGAAGTATCATTTTACATCTTTTCTGTTGATTAGTAGTACAATATGTAAATTCTGGCCAAACAATGAAGAATTATGCTGTTTTGAAAACACCACACAAACAGCACTTTCCAAATTTCAACGAGTGTGCTGTTTTTCTAATAATCTTTTCTGAAAAGTATAACGGGAACTGGAGTCCTCACTACTATCCCTGTTTAGTACTAGGGCTGGTGTCGACCGAAAACAACAAAAACATTTTTCGCAACTAATTTTTTCGAGCGAGCTACAGGAGCTCGATGAACTTTATTAATTTTCAACGTTGAAAGTGTATATGACTTAGTTTATGCACATTTGTGGTTACTCCATTTCTCGCTCAAAATCAATATTTTAGGCAGTGCCTATTACGGAGGTACAAATAAACATCTTCTGTGTGACATTACATTTAACTGTCTGATCCCGACTAAAACACCTTGACCTTATCATTCCAATAAGTTAGTCCTGACCGCTGTAAAAAACTAAAATTGCTGTCACTTACAGATTTAGGAGGGGGAGGAAGAGGCTTCAAATCTTCCTTATCCCTTTCATTTTTTCACAATTTCTTCCTCATCCCTTAGGTTGTTTGGCATTTCTCCCACATCCCTGTTTCCCAAAATATTTAAAGAATATGAATATATTGGTCTGTATCGTCAGATCACTTAAGGTGCTAGTGACGCCACAAACATATCCCTCTCTAGCACAATTGTTTTATTGGACTTGCTTTTGTGCTCAAGGGAGTTCTCTCTTATCTAGTTGTCTTTTTCTCTTTAATTGTTTTGTTAACAATTACACTTTATATGAAGGCGCATATTAATTTGGAAGGCAAGCATTGACAAATCGAGTAGAAAGTAGGACAAGTTTTTAAAAAAGGTCATTATATCTTGCAGGAACGCGAACGTCCCTTGTTGAACGCGTATTTCGGGTACTTCCGAACATGTTAGACCGCATAATTTCCTCATTATCGCTCTCGCTGTTGTCTGAGTCTTGCAAATCGAACGAAAATTCACTTATATCCAGTGCAGCATATGTTATAGCTTCTCGAACTGCTGTTCCGTAAGGGTAATGCCACCTTCATCTGATATGAACTCAACACGAATCTCGGTAACATAATATTTACTCTAATCGATAGCTGGATTAGTAGATTCCCAGGCAAAATACAGACTACTGCCACTTTTATTCTGTGAGTATTAGCTGCATGAGCAGTGTCCATCCCCTCGTATATATCCCCCGTATTTATGGCGATGTTTTCAATCTTATCCATAGTTCTGTACAATACAGTCCCTTCGTGAAAGACAACATGTCTTTCAGGTCTTTCAGGTTCTGTGTGCTTTGAAACGAAAAGATTCCCAGTCAATAGTAATGAAAAGTCAACATCCTCGCTCTCAGGGGCGTTAATTTCATAAAGCCCAACCGGTAATGTTGAGAACTTGTGTTTGGTTGTCTCACTACGGACTGTTGAAACTTTGACAGCTTCAAGCCATGTCTTTCGGTAATCATGGAGCTGAACGATATGATGAGGCGACAAAGAAACGTATGGTGGCTTTGGTATTGTCGGCATGTCTTCAAATTTGATGAAGTCCTGAAGTAGTTCGTAGAAGGACTTCGGATGAGTATAGAAAATAAATGGGAATTTCGTGATTCTCTTCATAACCTCTTCTACAATACCTGGAAAGTTTATAGCAAAGTGCAAGCAACCGACAGCTTCATTCAGGCCAAGTTCTCGCGCTTTTGCAAACAGATGCTCGCGCTTTGCAAACAGATGCTCGCGCTTTTGCAAACAGATGCTGGGTTGTTAGCGCTTTGGTTGTTATTCTCAAGTTGGGGAGTTTGGTGAGTGGTGACTGGAGAATCTGGCGTATAATGGAAAGCGATTCAACAGTGTCGAAAGCAGGGGAGCCCAGTGATCCATCGAGTTTCTTTTCAGCTGTCAGACCAAACATTTCCCTGATGTCTGACTGACATTATCGATAAAATTGAAGGCAGCAATCTATAACCAATAGAGCATCTGTTGCTTGAACATACTTGATGTTGGTGTGAACACCGAAAGCATCAAACAGATCACCATACTGCTGGTAAGCAAGGTTAAGTAGTTTCACGGTACTCATGAGAGAAATCGCGCTTACACCTGTATCGCAAACAAGAATTGACCTTCCCTCTGCCACAATTGACGTTGGCTGTCCAAATGATGCAGTTTCTGCTAATCCGTACCTTCAAGCATCATCCCCATTCCCAGCATGCACTTGAACATATGTTTCGTTGTTTCGAGTCGGAAAAGTAAACTGTAGAGCCGACAGCAGCCAACCCATGAGGGGTCGAAACCTCACTGTTCCTCGAGAGCAGTGAACACTGTCCGGTCTCAAGATTAATTACTGAAAGACCCCCATTTGTCGACAGATCGGTAAATAGGAGCCTAGACTCCGCTTAAATTAGCATGACGTCCTACGGAAAGATAATCTGGGTTTATTCGAGAAAATTACCCTCATTACTTCGAATAAAGGTTTTTAACATGTTCAAAACTCCAAATTTTAACGGATACCCGGTGACTATGGTAATTTAGATGGTGGCTCACAGCCAATTAAAACTCTTGAATTATATCCAAAAAATAAAAAAAAAAGTTTTATAGAGTACATCCCCCTCCCCCCTAATCGATACTAATCGTAATATATTAACTTTTAAATGCCAAGGTTTTATATATTTAGTCTATTTTGCTCAGTTTTGCAGTCGAAATAATGGTAATAATACGTATACTCAGAGAACAGTGACCGTGTATAAATAAGTAGACTCTAGAGACTCTAGAGTTCCTCCCTGGTCTGCACGGGAAGTAAGGAAGTATAACCACATTGGATCATTCTGATTAATCTCTACATCTCTTTAGTCATTTCTAATGTCTCTAATAAATAAATGCTGTTTTTTTTAAGGCTCTAAATTTTCTTACATGAGTACCAATATTAAAATAAATTACATATAAAGTACGCCTGAATTTATGATTGTAGTGAATCTGTGGTGCGCGCGATTCGCCTGACCTGTGTGACCTGTGTTGGGACCTCAGATTTATATTTTGATCATTGGGCCGGTTTGAAGACTTCTAGTTCCTCTATTCCGGAGCCAGGTTTGACAAATTGTAACTCAAAGGAGTGTATTCCGACAAAGGAATTTAAGAATTAAGCTTTTTGAAACACTTACCATGGATAACAATGAAGAACTTAATCCAGAATAAGAACGAGCTATCATGAGAGCCCTGTGAGCTGCCCGCGTTTTGGTGGAATCTTCGAAAGAAAGACCACTGAAGGGACGCGAATCAACAGTGAGGCAACGGTATTTTTGGATTGAATTATTTAGATCTTTGTCCAGTCTGTCCAGAGTCTGTCCAGATCAGCTGTCTAAATGTCAAAAGATCACAAGGACCGAATCGAAAAAAGTTCAAATTACACCCAATTATTTATACAGATTGTGACAAGTTGCGTGACAGAACACGTGCGACACACGTGTTTGACTGTGCAGTAGTTAATTTCTTCAGAGCGACTCGACCGCAGTCGTGCATGGCCGAATACACGTTTTCATAGCACCAAAATTCGTTCTCTACTTCTAACACAGATCTATTCACCTAAAGACGTTTCAGTAATTCTGTGATCTCCTGCCATGAGTCTCATATGACTAATCTCAATACGACCGAAAAAGACAACAAAGACAATTAAAATGATAATTTCGAGCAATAAATCCAATAGAATCACTCAATTCCGACTCAGAGTGCTTGTAAGAATCGTCGTCTCCCTTATTCCTTCATATTCCTCGGCTCCCTTCTCCCTGTATCTTATTGCCATTTCTCCCTTAACCCGAAGGATTTTGAGGCCAATTCTCCCACATCCTGCTACTGTATTGTTCCCCCCCCCCCATCATTTAGAAACCCTCATTCAAAATATGTCATTATGAAGAGAACTTCATGTCTTACCTGAGCTTGAGAACAACTCCACGAGAATGGTTTGATTCCCTCTTGAGTCACGCTCTTTACACTGAGAATTGATATCACGGATCCATTTAACTACATCGCACGCAGTTATATTAAAGTTGTCGTAAGAAATGGTTAGTATCAGGAGTGATAATTCTTCTTTTTACTTCAATTTACACTAAAATTTACCTTATAATGTCACAGACAATGTATTTTTATGAAAAACATATCTGAAATGTCCAGTTTAGGCGGAAAGCTCGTCGGAAGGTCCTTGTTTTTAAGCGGTACAGTTAAGTACAGTACAAGTATAATTCATTTTTATTGCCGTCTTTTCATTTTAAATATCACCTCCAAGTTTTATATTTTTTTATTATTTCCTTTTTATTTTGTTTTGTGCACGTGTGTGTTTGTTTTTTCCCTTGGTGTTTCAATAACTGAAATATTTGAAGTTGCAATTGTTTTGCTCAAGACGACCAAAATATTCACGTTGCGACGGGGATAAGCTTTTTATCGAGAAGATTCGCACTGTTTGCCTTCAAGAATAGCGGAGTTGTGTTCTTTTTCAAGTGTTACAGGTGGGAAATGTGGAAGTAGCCGAGGGTGTACATATTTTGTAGTTTTGAATTGCTGTAACGCTAACATCAGCGCGCATGTACACCCCAAATTAGTGAAATTTACCTTAGAAGGACAAAATGCATTTGCTAGATAATCCTATAAACGCTAGGGCGAAAAAGAAATGTAACGATCGATCAAACATACTTCTCACTAAACTCTAGCACTACAAGCTGCGATGATTTTACAAATTATGTTTAGCTCCAAACCAATGCTGTCTGGTGGAAGCGAGGGAAGATGTGCAGCGGTGATTTATATCTATCCCCCAGTCATGATACCATCCGAAATTGTATTCGTTTTGTACTGCACCTAAATATCCATCAATTGTAC